ATGATTACCATCATTGCCGTTTATGATCGTTTTTTATCGAAAACGTCCAATGTCACTATTTAAACGGCATATTCGACGTTCCACTTCTGTCTACGTAATTTTTCCGAGGAAGATTTTTGAATCGATTGAGACCCATCACTGGTTTGTTCGATTTTACAGCAGTAAATAAAATGCATGAATTATTATAAAGAAGGGTGTGAGTTGGTGTTGGTATGGGAATGGGTCTTCATTGTTCCCTTACTGACGTCCTAACGTGCACAGCTAAATGTATAAGTTCGCCATCATGCATACATCCACACCCATATCCCCAAATAGGCAAATTGTTCCGAAAACGCAATTACTTGCCATACTCGTGTTTCTTGTTTCAGCGTGTTCGCCTTCATCCAGAAAATCTAAAACTTGCTACGTACATCAAAAGGTGTGCTTCCGGAAGGTTCAATGAGTGAAGTCTGATTTTTGAAAACGACCAGAAAGCTTTCTTACAATACTTGTCGCATACATCACGCATAATGAAGTCTTTGTTCTCTGCAAAACACATCAAAAGATTGCCGAAATAAAAACCTTCCGTTGTTAAGATACAAAGCTTGCCTTTTCAAACATTGCCAAGCACATTCTATAGTGCAAGTGACTCGAAGTGAGTCTTTCAGAAGCAATCAGTAGAATATAGAGAAGAAAATCATTGTTATCTTTGAAACTTTCCTACTAAACTATTCAGTTGTCATCAGGTAAATGCGGTATATGTGCAGAAATAAATATGAGCTTAAAATCGATCTTTTCATCAAATGTCTTTAGTGCTGGGTCTTCTCTGAATCCCATTTTATCATGCCGTTATCATAAAGTTGCTGTTGTTCTATGTGTGAATCTCTTTTCTTTGTTCGATGGTAAGGAATACTTCTGTCGAAGGCTGATAACAGTCATTTCACTATATTTTGCTGTATCTCTCAATCTTCAAAAAACATCATTTGGTATTAAGATATGTTTTGAAAAATATCGTTTTTGACTCCTTACCGGTCATGATTATATTTCTTGTATTACACAAAATACATGTATTCAAGTCTTCAAAATCATACCAATACAATAGCACTGCATAGGATGAGGAATTTTATTTCATTATTAAATGGGCATTTTGAGAGTAATAGGGAGTGAAAAAGAATAGTACTTGAATGATCATCACATCAACAGGTAAAAAAAGGAGTTCATGTAATATTAAAGCGATCGATAGATGAGAAGAGTGATGACACTCAAAGTAATGAAAAGAAGGAGTGGCTGATTTCTGACCATCGATACACCATTACAAAGATCCGATGTACAACAACATGTACTACTTGAAACACCTTCAGCACTCGCCGATCTACAGCCGTTCGTATCACCTGGACACGCTGCAGGAGATGATATTGAGCGAACAACTACATCATTAGTCTTCGCTTTCTGTAAGAAGAAGTGAATGAAATACATCAGTAATGACATAAATATCAAAGTCACATTTTAAAAAGACTTACCATGCACACATGACTTTCAGTTGCTTCTATTTTTTGGGCCTCAGTCATGGACTCTGCCTTGAATGGATCCCCGCAATTCGTATTCTCAGCAGAACTGCACACATACATGACTTTTCAATTATTACGTTTCATTTGCTACTTTGCTTACAGTAATGTTCATATGAAACTGAATATATCTTTTGAACTGTTCTAAACACTTGTAGGTGCTAACAGCGCTGATAAATCCTATTCAAACGGCAAAAAAATGAATTGTTTGCAACACTTTTTTGTACATAGGTTATTGACTATCACTTACCCAAGATGAGAAGAATGCAGAAGGGTTTCATTCTTCAGTCTTTATCCCAGAAAAAACTTTCTCTGTATTTAAATGAGAAATTGTATATCAAATGCAGAATGCGTGAGCAGTGTTGCCTTTATATATGTCATGATAAGGAGTTCTCTGTTGGCGTATTTTGTATCCTTCATGTGTATTTATGAAATTTGCTCACAATATTCATTGTCTGTATGATATCGTGTTCGCATATATGCCAAATGTGAAAATCGAAATTCGAAACTTGAAATCGGTAAATCGAAATTTGAAATTTGAAAGTTGAAACTTGGAATCTGTAAATTGGAACTTGAAACTCAAAATCAGTAAATTGTAGTTGAAATATGAGAGTTGAAATTTGACATTGGAGACTTACATAGTAATTTCTTGATCAATCGAAGTTTATTCTTAAGTATGATACTAGTATTTTCCTTGGCAGTGTTCGAAATGTTTCAATAGAGAGCATTGTTATCTATGAACGAAAAACGCTATAGCTCGACGACAAACAGAAGAATTTCATTATTGAATATTCATGTTACGATCGCTTGCTAAAGAGAGTTAATGATCGGTGAATGAACGAGGAGTAGGTACACAAACCCCACCTTTCTGACTCGATAGAAATTATTTTTCTCATAAGGCCTCTAATAAGATGATTATTTGTATATAAGAGAAAAAAGGATCATTCTCAGGATTAAACTACTTGAAAATGATGGTTAGTTGAATGGGGTGAATGAAGAGAAGACTCTCATTTATCCTACTATCTTCTTTTATGTAGATTAAAATAGATTATAACTATCGAACCGACATCAACAAATGAGCATGAAAAATGTCTGAACACTATGATTCTCAACAATAGTTTACATTCACAAACTATTTGATTATTCTGATGAGCGTCAACAGCTCTGGAGGATTGATGAATACGTGGAAAGATAATCTCTTCGTCTAGATCCGTTCAAACTAAATCGATTTCTTATTGTAACAAGTTTCATGTTCACGTTGGGATAATTTTTCATGGGAAGACTTCAAAATTGATTGTGATCTATCAGTAGCGTGTCCGATTTTTGAGTGGTAAATAGCAAGCATGAATGATAACAAAGAAAAAATTATTGTACTCAGAGTATAATTGATGAAGCAAATAATTGATTTTGATTCTCGAATTAATTCATTCTCTCATTAACAATTACGTATGACAAGGATATAATGATATTGAATTGAATAGCTAAATATTATGGTTGTCGGTGAAAAAAATACACTGATTACAGACCAATCATATTACACATAGATGTCCGTGGCATTGGTTTCAACAGCAAAAATAATCTACTGGTGTAGAAGAGAAAGTAAGTTAAACGTCACAAGCAGTTTTGTGTTGCAATAGGATTCAGTGTAATGCATAGAAATTTGTCTGAGGAAAAGTATCCAACTTGCTGAAGAAGAAACCATAGTGAATATGGAAGAAATTTGAGACCGCCAAATCTCTTAGATCCTTTTTTCAACAAGTCATTTTCCTACAGCCAGGGAGTTTAGGTCTTTTGTTCAAAATGTTGAATGAAGAAGAGAGAGAATCTTTTTCCATACATTCAAGGTAGCTGTTCTTTCACAATCTGTTTCAAAATAATGAAAGGCACCCTATATAACAGGACTTTACGAGATAGCCCTGTAGTATTACGTGCCATCGCTCAGATTTACGCGCGCCGTAGTTCTCGTTGTGTTTTTGATATGCGAGAAACGTTTTGCGACTATGAGTTCGTTTCTTCAGTGCTATTTCAGGATAAGTCAAGTGATAAGTATTCACTCGCTCTTCTTGTGTCTATAATGACGAATAACATTTCTGATAGTGGGAAAAAGTGACAAGACATCAGTTACAATGTACCCGTCCAATAATAACACTACCAATGCATCAATATGGCAATACTGACTTTTAATTTTTAACATTTTGATTTATTACTCTTCTAAACGCGTTATTGAAATAAAAGTACACATGCGACAAATTCACGAGAAAGAATATCTTGATATTCTATAATCTAGGCGAATCAAGTTCTGTAAAATTGACTATTGCATAGAAGCTCTTGCCATATTATCACCGTTGTCAACTTTTGCGACACTGCCCTAGAAAAATGCCTTGAATGGTTCTGAAACTGAAATGACATTATCTACCTATCTTTTGTGTCAGATTTCGTTCATTTTGTAAAGGTTCTCTCGTAGAAAACGGTTCTTCTTATCAATTTGACGATATTGAAAGCAAAATATACATATGAGGCTAATAATAATAATAGGAGAGCACGTGTATAAACTCATCGAATTTCGTCTCTACTTCTTTAATGTTTCCTCAATTATTATAAAGCGAAAGCAAACTACTGCCATATCTTACAAAGAAGAAAAACTCGTCAAACATCCAGAAAAAGTTAATAATAATAATAATAATAATAATCGAAACCTTTTCTACAAATTTGAAAAAGTGAAAATAATCAAAGAGGTACGTTCAAGAACATGTTCACATTGACCTAAATGGCAGTTCATCTTCTCGAGACTAGATTGGCTAAAGAAAATATAGAAATTCTACAGTGCAGTACCAATTATCAAATACTGTTAACGATAATAGAAGCATACGTAGATACAACTGAATCGATAATACTGTTATTTACTTAAATATATCGACACTAGGAAAAAAGTCGAGATGTTCGATTAGACAGCTATGAAAAATGTATAAGTACATGTATATGACATGCAATATAAAATGATTAAGAGAAGATAAACGGAAGAAACAGAATCTAGAATTTCTCAAAACAAGCGAGGTTACTAACACAAGTGAGTTGAATGTTCAAAACAATTTTAAGTATTGATAAAAAAAACTATCTTGAGATAGGTTTCTAACATTTTGTTAAAAATTTTAATGCCTGACCTTAAAGTAACGAACACACTTGGAGCAGAAGTAATAGTTAGTCTGTCGAAGAAAACTTACTGAACAAGAGCGCTGTATCCATTGTCAGTTTTTCAGTGTTTTGTAATTTTTTCTGTTCGTCTCACCGACGTATGACGGTATCTTTTTCTTTATTTTTTCTGTTCAATTGTAGACGAGTCCTAGAAAAACGATCATGGTATTAGATGAGACACTGTGAGTAAAAATGAATCGAGAATCTCTTACTAGTTTTTGGCAGTTTTGGAAAAATTTGTGCATCGTTTGCTGTTTAATTGTGTTAGGAAAGGAAAAAATATAAACAAAATAAAGATAAGAAGAATGGAAATGGGAGTTTTATGACAATGTTTTGAAAACGAATAGTTATAACATTAGCGACTGTAGTACGTGAGATAGTAGTGCTAGAGGTGGCAATGCTTGTTGTAGTAGTGCTGCTAGTAACGGAACTGATGTTATTAATATTATTAAAGTTCTTCTTGTATTGGACTTGATAAAGACAGTTATTGCCATCTTCCGAAAATAAAAGACTACCATCTTTCAAAACAAGTATTCCGACTGGTCTTCCAAATGTCTCAGGTCCAGACGGATTGATTAGAAATCCATCAACAAAATCTTCATAGTAACCTATTGGTCGATTAGTATTATTATTGAATGGAATAAAGATAATTTTATAACCAGTTCCATTATTTCTATTCCATGAACCATGAAATGCTGCAAAAGCTCCATTTCGATATCGACTAGGAAATTGATTGTCTGAATAAAATCGCATATCAAGTACAGCTGAATGAGCTTGAAAAAGAACATCAGGTGTTCGTGTAACTGCTACTAAATCAGATCGTTCACTTGTTCCATTATTTAGACGGCGTCTTGGATCAGTTAAATTTGCACTCATATAGGCAAAAGGCCATCCATAAAAGTCATTCTGTCGAATACATGTAAAGTAATCAGGAACGAGATCGTCGCCAAGTCCATCTCGTTCTTGACATGTTACATAGAGATCCTTGGTAATTGGATGAAAAGCTAATCCGACAGCATTTCGAAGACCATAAGCAAATGTTGTTTGATTACTACCATCGAGATTTACTTGTTGAATAGAAGCTCGTGGCAATGATTCAACACCAACATTGGATGCTGAACCAATACTAACAAACATTCGATCACCGTTAGGTGATATGACAATAGTTCGTGTCGAATGGCCATTTGAAGCATAACTCATTATTATTTCACCCGTACCTGTAATTTGTCGACTTCCAGAAGTCCAAGAATAGCGTCGAATAACATCTCGATTACCAACATAAAAATATTCATTGGCGAAAGCCATACCAAATGGATAATTGAGTCCATTAGATGTATCAGCAAATGTTAAACGTTGATCTGGATAGCCATCATTATCATTATCAATGAGACATGAGATTCGATTAGTATTTGATTCACTAACGAGGATATCATTTGTAGGTGTATAGATAAGATAACGTGGTGATACAAGTCCACTCATATATAACTTCACCGTAAATCCATCAGGAACGTAAAGGAGAGGATCTGCTGGTATTGGAGTGATTCGAGGTAATTTAGAAGCCGATAATGTGGCGTAGGGTTGTGGAAGATCAGCAATTGTTATGAGAATTGGCTGTGAAAAGAAACTAACATTTGTACAATCGATTCGATGAATTATAAGTAAGGTTAGAATGAAAAAGAGACGTAATACAGATGAAAAAAACATTTTTTTGTGATGGTAATTCAATTGTCGTTTTCGGTGTTTCAGTAAATCACAAATTAGATGCGGTATACTTCTTACATTAATAAACAAGCAATAGAACGAATATATATATATAATGCAAACATTTGCATATTATTCACGAGAATAATGCATGTATTCTTTGTTTTCTCATTGTCATCGAAAAAAATACGTGTGTTTTTTTTTTCTCTGTAAAATAAACGCACGTGAATAGCTACGTAGTTTGTATTTTACATAGACTGTATGGTTGCACATATGCATCAAGATCCATAGTTTATCGTATAAACGCATTGCTACTCCTATCTACAGTGGACGTCAAAAGTCTCGCCTCACTTTTTTTTCTTTGGATAGTGGAGCTCGAGCACTATATGTGTGTATATATTTGAAATGAACAATAGTTGAATATGAAATACAGGAAAAAAATAACAAACTTCAGTACTAAAAAAAAAAACTACATAAAAAAACTACAAAATGATATAGTTGTTATGAGTTTTAGTAAGGTGCGAGTAACGCAAAAGTTGAATAAGATTTTTTTTGATATTTTTAAATGGTTCGATAGATTTCAACAAGCTCTACAAAACTGTTTATTTTAAAATGTTTTAAAACCCTTTTCTGCGACAAAAAGTTATAAAAAACTCGTATATATCTTATTTGTGCGATATGAAAAATCGACAATTTTTTTTGTCCCAAAAACGATTTAAAAAAAATTCTAACATAAGCAGTTTTGTAGAGCTCGTCGAAATCTATCGAACCATGTCAAAATATCAAAAAAATGTTTTATTTGATTTTTGCATCACTCGCATCTTACTGAAACTATTAACTTTCATGACAACCATATAATTTTGTACTTTTTTTATGCAGCTTTTTTCGTAGTACTGAAGTTTGTTTTTTTTTCTTTTACTTTATTTTATATTCAACCGTTATTCATTTCAAATATATACACATATATAGTATTCGAGCTCCACTATTCGAAGAAAAAAAGAAAATTGAATCTATGTCTTGTAGTTGTGAAATGCGAGCCAAAACAAAAAAAAAGTGGGGCGAGACTTTTGACGTCCACTGTCTATGGTAATGTGTATGAATTAATAAGAGAAATATGAATATGTTATTTTAGTGTTGTTTGATGGTGAATTTATTGAAAATGACCAAATAAATTGGTTGATATATTCAATTGAGAAGATGGAGTTTGTCATATTTTTTTTATCTTACCATTTGTAAACCTTTGCCCCCAAGACAGTATTTATTATTGATCCTCATTTTTAATATGAAATAATCGATCAAATCTCAAGGTTTACTTTAGATTTCGATGGACAACTTAAGAAATAAGTCGTTATTCATTTCTGTTTATCGAAAATCGATCTTATTTGTATTGATAGATGAGTATGGATCTTCTTTTATCCCACATTCACACCGGTAAATAGGTGATCTATGTCAACAACATTGATTGAGCAAACATGTTCTAATCAATTAATACAGATCGATGACGAAGTGTAAACGTGATGAACATGCTAAAGGTGATTAGTGACAACATCACCATCGAGTAGCTTTTTAACGAGAAACACTTTTAGAGGATCACCTCATGGAAATGCTCGTTCCATGTGCCATAGACAATCGCCTAATAGGTTTGCACGATACCTTCAGGCTCTGTTGTTGCTTTTTATATGTATCAATCAAACTGTCTTTCAACCTTGACAAACAAAACAGCTAGAATGAATCATTATGAAGCTATTCGTCTGATCGTAGGATACCAAGCAGAAAGATAACACATCTAGTAGTTGAATACAAACTATTTGTCCGTCAAATACCAAAGTCTTTGAATATCTTTGACAAGTTGATCGTGAGCTTCGAGCAAATTTGTTGTTTGTAGACGCAAATCAAGCCTTCTTCTTATATCTTGGAATTAGTTCCCAAACACTCAGGACATACTTCAATTAAGTTCAATTGAGTCATAGTACAGCTAGAAGGGTTTGGATGTAGTTATGGATATGAATGAATAGAAAGCCAAACTTACAAGCACCTCTTTTTTCTTTTATAATAAGTCGTTGAATCCAAATATTTGTCCAATTCATAGTAAAGCAAGAGGAAAAATATCTGTTCCATTTGCATGGCATTTCTTTTTTTTTCTCCATTTCTCTCCAACAATCTCGTTTGCGTTGGTTTTTCCAATGCGAGTCCCTTCACATTTATTTCGAAGGTGTAAAATGGCAGAAGAAGAAAAAAATCCAATACAGAAGTGAAATCTCAAAAAATAACACAGGAGATTGTGATAAAAAAGACCATTATATTTTTACCTCAATCCTTTCTAAATTTCTTTGATACATGTTCGTGTACTAGCCACACACAACATTTGATTTTTTTAAATGAAGATACACCTTCTACACCCGTAAAATCGAATTATGAATAAACTATTGGGTTTCATTAAACAAATACTAGAACCTCTCTCTCTCTCTCAATCGCAAATATCATTTTCTACTGCAAATCTGTAAACAAAAAAATACTCCATTTTTTTCTAATCGACCTAAAAAGCTCTTCTTCAAAATATCTGAGGAATAGGTGCAGCGCTTTGACTACTTTGAGAAACCATTTTGTGATACCATAGATATTTAATTTCTAACATTAGTACGGGCGTTAATGTGAATATGTGCATGGATTCAAGTGAAGAAACGACTACCACTTGCAAGCCCACATGAAATCTCTCTCAGCTATAAACACACATACATCCAAACGCTTCATTGAGTATTCTATAATGAGTTTAAATTGATACGTTATTTTTGAAAGTCATCCCTCAGAATGCACACTAATTGATTGATTTGACGTTTTTATTATCATTTTTCATTAGCTAACTAAAAAAAGTGTCAAAAAGTTCGCTATTTTACTGGTTGTTCTGAATATGATTGAGGTTCAACCAGTATGTGGAGCTTGTGAAACTTTGCCATCTTTGTCGAAGAATATACGTACACGATTGTAACGTAAATCCATGGTGACGGGTGAGCTTTGTTCAAGCTTCTCGACGTGCAGATCTAAAACGATGTGAAAAAAAATACAACAACGACAATCACAATCAACTTATGATTAAAATAATATACACGAATTCGACTTTCTACTTTTGATGTAAAGTAAGTAGAGCTTATTAGAAGACTAAAATATTGACTTACTCGGATTGTCTCGTTTAATTTCTTCAACAGCTTCATCTACTGGTCTGCCGACGAGACTAGGCCATGATTTATGTTCAAATGTCGGAATTTGCGAGTGGTCCCTACAATGCCATATAAACAATTTTTGAAATGCATTATTCGTTTTTTATGTGATTGACAATATACAACGAATGAATCGGTTCCATAAAGAAATTTTCAAGTTTTTCTTTTGTTTCTTTATAATAAATTGCTGTTTCGAAAATAATCATGTTTGAATGTGGGCAATTGATCTTATGATTCAAATTAGTCAATTTGGAAAATAAAAGAAAGAGTCCTATTCGAGGACATCATACTGCTATAAATCCCACTGATGATTAGAAAATCATCGATATCCACAAAATACTAATACAACAAACACAAAAAGTACATATTCTTAGAAAAGAATCGAAGTGGACAAAATGATTATTGAGAAGCTATAATTTAGTCAACCAATACTATGATATCTAAATGTCACTTGTTAGAAAAGCAAACCAATCACAACAGTTTCCATTGAAGCATTGCTGAGCTTTTGGATACAGATAGTTTGTAAAACTCTCATTGTATCGAATACAAAACGGCTTCTTTCAAATTCATAATAGAAAAGATAGTTGCTTCGTTGTATTACTGTACCCACCGGCTTCTGACATTATCATACAATATTTGTGTTCAAAATTCATCGACTACTGATTTTAGCTTACACATTTTGTAAGTTTATTATACATACGAGAGGCATACTTATTATACGTACTACTAAGATTCTTATGTGATTCATTTTTTCGATTTGAATTTTCGCACTAAAATATTAAGAGAATTCATCGACTTTAACGAAACAGAATAAGAACTCAATTAAAATCATGAATAAATGTCGAAACGTAATGGTCGATATCTGAAAACTTTACCAAACTGTAAATTCAATGTTGTCTCTGATAGAGATAGGTGAAACTATCTAATTTTCTTTTCTGCAACTGATATCAATCGAATATGCAATGCAGATATATTCCGTTGATATCTACAGTGATAAATGATCTATAGCTACTACAGATGTTGGAGATTTTATTTTGTAATAATACATCATGGATACGCAGTTATAAAAGTCCCATGAAGCTACTTACATATGACGACGAAGTTTGTGTTTATTTGAAGGTCGACGAAAGAAAAAAATGCTTGAGTATACAAGAATATCTTACTTCTCCACTTACGCCTATGGCCTCAAACACACAGTGACAATCAAAGGTAAATTCAGAAATATGATTGGTGTTTCTTCATAGCAACATCAATAATCATACTTAATTTACCTGTAATTGGCGCAGTATGTTCGAGAACTATAACTTGCAGTTGAATAACGCCGAAACGACCAAACGAGAAAAAGAAAAAAACATTTTTTTAACCTTTTTTGTTCTTGTTGAACAGAACGGAGAAAAAAAAGCACATCTTGTTACCATTTTCGTCAATACCATCATTATATAACTTGTGATTGAACAGGAAATAAATGTTAAATAGAAAGATCATCAATTAATATTGATCGAATATCTTCATCAAGATAATCAATTTGATTAATAGATATTGTTGTTTCTGTCTGTAATTGTCCACTATCAAATCATTTAGCTAATGAAGACATTCATTCTGATAAATGATATAAATCTTTTTTTTCTTTAATGATGAATTTTCATCGAGAAAATTTGGAAAGATTGTAAAATCTACTTCTTGTTTTTCTTCAACAAGCATTTTAATTTATATCTAAAAAATTTTATCTATAATAAATAAGATAAGTTTTCTACAAATAATTATTTTATTCAATTTTATCTTTATTGA